AATCTGAGCAATCAATGGCTTATTCCATTCCAACGAAAAACATCTGTGCATTGATGTCATCGTGTTAATTCTTGGCTGATACTTGTTGGCTCAAAATTATACTTTTTTACATGGACGGCTCGCTTATGACAGCCTACCCTGTCAACGACGTTTTGTTGAGCTCTTCAAACAAAGGCAACAGCCAATAGGATTAATTTAATTAATCCTATTGGCTTTGCCAACCATCCGCTGCCATCAAAAATTCACTGACGACTTTGGCACACCAGAAATGACGCAAGACAACAGATAAACCGTAGAAATGTATTTATCACTTAATTGTATGCGTCATTGATCTATCAATTTCATATTGTGCTTAACAAATTGAGCCATTGAAATGATCAAACGGAATGTTGAAACAATTCAGATCGTCTACGTGATTGGACGTGATTGGTGTCAAATGAGTCAACCCACAACAATATACTTCACGACGTATCTATTTTTGACTACGATAAATCGAAAGTGTGACTTTAAGCTTCAGAATCACGCATTTTTTAATGATTAAATATCTTTGATACTTTAATATTCTTCATACCTATTTGCTGGAGTAATCACTTCAGGTATGCATTATACTATACAAGTCTTCGACTTTATTGACTCAGTCGTGTATGAAGTTTATGACACTACAGTCGTCCATCTGGTTTATAAACATCTTCTTTCACTATTTGCTGATCAGATGGGCATACAATTTGCCGCTCTTGGCACGTCGGGTCTGTACTGTAGCACAATTGTACGTCTCCTTGATCCTTTGCATATTGTGTTCCCACTGATTATCGCGCATGACAAATTCGCATGAAAGTGTTCACTTTTCAATTGCGATCCAAAGCAACACTTGCCATAGCAACCAACTCACATAACTTGAAGCCTCTCAATCGTTGACTATGATGTCTATCGTTCAATCTACATTTGGCCTCTTCCTCGCACTCTCTACTTCCTCTTCGTCTGCAGTCAACAATTTGCACACGACACGAAATTTGCAAACCTACTCAAGCTACGATAACTACTACCAACAGATGCTTGATGCAGTGAATGCCGAGCGAGCAAAAGCAGGTTTATCGGCTTTGTGCACGAACCAAAAGCTTGCAAATGCTGCAGCACGTCATTCGAAAGACATGGCTGAACATAATTTTATGGACCATATCGGATCGGATGGATCCACTTTGTCGGAACGTATCACGGATGCGGGATATTCATGGACTATGGTCGCAGAAAACATTGCCGCTGGTCAAGAAGATGTTGCGTCAGTTATGGAATCTTGGATGAATTCGGCGGGTCATCGCGCCAACATTTTGGGTGCTGACTACACAATGTTTGGCACTTCGTATGTTTTCAGTGCTCAGAGCAAATACCGACACTATTGGACGCAGGATTTTGCATCCGGAGATACCGAGGGATGTGATAATGGAAGTTCCAGTACATCACAGTCAACTGAACAAACTCAACAAGAACAATCGGAAAATCAACAAGAAACACAATCAAGCAATGATATTAATGGCACCACTACGCAGAACTATACTTCACCCTCGACTGGTTTTCCTACACAATAT